AAACGACAAAAGTGATTATAAGGGCAATCCTAGCGGAGCGGATCGCCAATAAAATGTATATACTGATACAGTCACTGGTGTGTATCTAGTGCATGGCGCACCCTTGTGAAAATGGTTTAAATATCTATTTCTAATCCAGTAACTATCTCAAGTCATTGCATTGCATTGCAAACCTGTCAGCAACTTAGCTGGCAATGTTAATGTTTTGGTGTTAAGAACAATATGGCGCTTGCAGTAACAATCTATGTTTGCTTCTTGTGCAAATTATATGATGATTACAAGATTATAGAACATGCTATGTATGAAAACTTAAATACACTGTAACCTCTATAATGAACACCTTTATAATGAGTTTCCTGATATAATGACCACAGAGCAGGTCTCCCGCTCACAACAAACCCAATGTATTATGTGCTTGATTATAGTGAACATTTCCCTATAACAAACTAATTGTATGTCCCCCAAAGAGTTTGTTATAACGAAGCTACAGTGTATAGATGAATACAGTACTACAAATGCCATACCAATGTTTGTCTAAGGGATTACTTGACAACCTATGAACTACTGTATTCATCTATATCTAAGCTTTCAGATGATGTATAGTAGAATGCTAAGTAAGTACTTATTTTACTTATTTAAAAACCAATACCTATTGTTATTTCAGGAGATAGCTGGGATGTTTGTGACAGTTGGCATGTGTGAACAAGCTGTGGAAGCCTATCTCAAGGTGAACACAATATATATCTAATATCAATATTTTCTATTTCATACATTCTTTGCCTGGTGACTGCAAAATAATTTTTTTCAACAACAACATGTCCGAATAAAATTTACAAGAAATTATTTGAAAAACAGTAAAAAATGATATCAATAATGACAATAGAAAGCAAATTGGTTCCTCTAATAGGACATACAGAATGTTTAAGAACAAATTTAAACCTTAACTAGATTTAGAGTTAGTAATCATTGTCTTAAAATTTAAACTGGCAGATATAAACAGTTTGCAGTTAATTCTAGAACATGTGATCAATGTACACAAAACACAATATAACTTGAAAGACACTTGGTTATGAATTGCCTAGCATACAGGTACATACACTGCATTTATTTAACAAAGTAGAAATTCATATCATAATTTTGAAACCAGTGACCAGTTTATTTCCATTATGAGCAAAAAATATGTCACTTCCTGTAGACAGTAACTGTGTTTTTGAATAGGTTTGAGACTTTGTGTTTTTGTTTGTTTTCCGGGAAGTATTATAAGTTAATAAATATTATTATGAATATTATTATAGTGTAACCGAGTGAAAGCAGCAATTGATTGTTGTGTACATTTAAACCAATGGAACCAAGCTGTTGATTTAGCCAAGGCGCATAATGTGAAAGAAATTGACGCACTGCTTGGTAAATATGCTTCACATCTGTTGGAAAAAGATAAGAAATTACAAGCCATTGAGTTGTATAGGAAGTCAAATCACTACCTGGAAGCTGCTAAACTCATGTTTAAGGTGAGGATTATTCTAATTCCATGATTACACAATGTATTCTACTTTAGCTGTTGTAAAATGGTAAAACGAAAACTGCTTGATTTTATCTGGTACAGGTATTCTGATTGGGCCATTGGAGTGAAGAAATAATAAACAATGATTCAAATTAACAATGATTAATGATTAATTTTATATGTTGCATTTACTGAAGTATTAGTCCCCATTCAAACAAAGTCCGAAAACGAGAACATATAATTTGATCTCCGTCCGTACGTCCGTCCGTCCGGAGTCATATTTCAGAATCCTTTGGACCGATTTCGTTCATTCTTTGCATGTGCCTCGTACCTTATGTGGGACATATGCACATGTATTGGTTTAGTGATTCGATTTAAAATGGCCGACTGGCAGCTATCTTGCATGCATGTCCATGACAGTTTGTTTCAAAATCTGGTCAAGGATGGCCGATTGACAGCCATCTGACTTTTTGGCCTTACTACTATATTTCCACAATTTATATACCATTTTCATTCGTATTTGGCACATACATCATACATATCAGTGTGTTTCATAATCAGATCAAAGATGGCCGAATAACGGCTGTTTTTATTTTTGGCCATATTACTACTACACAGAACACGTGTTTTGATGTAAATAAACAATCTGTTGTATATGCCACTTGGAACTCAAGTTTCAAGGACACGCTCACGACAACCCCTCCGCTCTAATATGACAAGCACATAGAGAATTTTCAAAAATTTAACGGGGACTGTGTCATTTTCAATGACTTGTTCATAGAATGGACAAGTAACATTGAACACCTTTTACTTCTCACCAAATATACACTCATAAATTGTTCTTTTATTTTTTTCAACCATGGTAAGTTATGCTCATTTGGTCCAAAATTAATAAAGGTATTACAGAGAAGTAAATGAAAATTTGTACCATCATTTTAACAAAAGGAAAGTCTGTTGTTCAAAGGCATAAGGGCCCTGTGATTTAAATGATACAATATAATTTTGTGATGGTATCCATACGTATATTGCAAGACATCTATCAGAAAAACAACCATTAGTGATTTTGTTTCAAATAAAATCACTAAGCATAATAGGATTAATTATTCATGAAGATGTTTGATTCAGACAAACAAATGAATAAACAAAAATCAAAATAGCGTCAGAAATATTTATAACTGTTGGGGTATGGAAATTTATCGAGGACTTTGTTCAGACAGTAAACTTACCAAGTTACAGCTAACTAAGTAGTGCGGTTTGGGTTGAAAATGGCTTTATCATCTGCACATGTTCTAATTTCATGCGCTGTTCTACATACTATGATTACGTCAGTTTTAGTTAGACCACATAGTCGTGATGAATGCTATTAAAAAGATGACTTTGAAACTTACTGTTGTGGAATCATCACTGGTGCAAGCGCAGTAACTAAGCAACCACAAAACTTGTTTATTGACGCTTGACTTCACACTTCAGGTGTTAATATGAGGTGTTATTTTGAGGATACCGAGAAGTATGCAAGAAGACAGTATCGAGCGGAGCGCCGCAGTAGGATGAAAATACCCTGTAAAAGTACTGCAAAATTACGGCACGCTGTAACTTATGGTGTTACGGTGACAGATGTATAATAATATATATTATTATAATTCTATTAGATTGCTGATGAGTATGCCAAGAAGAGAGTGAAACCACTACGAACCAAAAAGATGTACGTGTTAGCAGCTCTGTTGATTGAACAATACCATGATCAAATTAAAGTCTCATCCAAATTAAAAGCTAAGGGAAAACGGGAGGTAAGTAACATCTTTGTAAATTTTATATTTTAGACTAAACAGGAAATTACATGATGGACTGAATAGTCGGTAATCATATTGGTAATACTTGAGGTAGAGAGGAAGATGTGCTGTACTGATATACGAAAATGGATTAAGATTTACACATACTTCTTACCTCAAATTGTTACTAATATAAACCTGACAATTAATGACTGATGTTTTTTGATTATACATTATAGGCTAGTTCAGCACTTGCCGGGTTGCTAGAGGAAGACGCCATAGCAACATCAGATAGTAAACTTATTGATAATGCATGGAGAGGAGCTGAAGCATTCCATTTCTTTCTTCTTGCACAAAGACAGTTGTATCAAGGTAAGTCTTTCAGATTTTTTTGTTTTGTTTTTGTATAAAGTTATTTCTTCATCTGTTATTCAGATAGCAAAAAAAAGCAATTACATACCGGTATCTGAAGAAACAATTCTTATATGATGGTTTATATGAAAGAAAGAATTCTATATTGCTATGGAGACACTCTGCTTTTAGCAATAAGAATGCCTAGGTTCTTTTAAGAAACATGTTCTGATTCAATAATTCTTACCAGTTTTACACTAACATGTGCAGCAATCCTCAATGTTCTCTGAATACTTCATATTCAATGTCTATGATAAGCCTGTGAAATGCTAGTACAGGTTGTCACAGTTTGCTTTATAAAGTAGCGTGTGCCCTAAAACATTATGGCAGAAGTCATACTTTACTGATTGGTCAAACCATGATACTGTAGAATACTTTATTTTAGCTGGAATTAATTTTCGCTGAAAGGACTTTTTGGGTGTTTTTTATGGAATTTATTTTCACTGATTTTTGACGAGTTGAATGTAAAATATAGGAAAAAAGGTATATTCACTGGATTTTATTTTCACTGAATCATTCCTTCAGCGTAAATAGTGAAAATAAAGTATTTTACAGTACAATAAATGCAATTTTTGGTTTATGTGTGCTTCTAGTAAAGCAAATATGGTATATTTTTATACAATTTTATCAGATAATGTGAAATAATTATGATAAATAAATAGAAATTGCATTCTAATTTCGATATTTTTCAAAGACGTGATTTGTATAAATACTTTTTTCCTGACAGGATATGTTGATGCTAGTATGAAAACTGTTTTACATCTGCGAGACTATGATGACATCATGGACCCTGTCGATATATATTCACTGCTTGGCTTAGCTGCCTGCGCCAATAGGGCATTCGGTACTTGCTCCAAAGCATTCATTAAACTTGAATCCTTGGAGACGTTATCACCAGATCATTTACAGCAATACGAAGACCTGGCGCTGAACATCTTTACCAAGCACAGTCCTAAAGACACTAGAAGCAATAAATCTGAATGCACCAGTTGTGAAACCATGATTCCAGATTGGTGAGTATTGCCTATGCATGCCTTATGCATGACCTCTAAAAGGTCACACATCCTGGTACTTTCTGGGGGTACAAACTTAATATTATGGAGAGTATCGTTAATATTTACCATCAAAATGCCATCATTTGCCTGTGTAATTTGCATAACTTTTCCATATTTTTGTCACGAAAATGTGATCAAAACTTGTGAATGAGAAATTATTCCCATTGGGTCTGAAATTAACAAAGAATTTCAGTAAGAAATGTGAATAATGTTTCATATAAATATGAGCAGAAAGAATGGTGACAACAATACCTCTTATATAACTGATGTACTTTGCTCACTTTTAATTCCAGTCATAGGTATACATTTAGCAAAAAAAAAAAAAAACCAACCCATGTTTAGCAGCCAATCAGAACTCCTGTGATATGTTTCTTTCAAAGGCATGCCCTAATTGGTTGACAATTCTTGTCAAGAGAGAAGCTGACTGAATAAATATTTAACTGTGAACCATGATCACACAATACACGCATGTTCTTATTATGCACCTAACCCTTATATTCATGCCATTTCCGTGTAAGGTCACAATAATTGTAACAAAGTCTTGGTATACCTGTGGTCAGAACGCACTAGAATTTTGGTAGACTTTGGTAGACATCAATGCCTTATTTTGTATCTCATTTTTTTTATTTACTTTGTTTATAAGATAATTCCAGGTCTTTACATACCAATTTAGATTCTGAATCAACAAACAATTGTTTTTAAGAAAAATCAACAATGCGATTGTATTTCCATCCCATCCCATGCTGCAGCTTTCTGTCTCAAATGCACTTTATCAGTATGTAACAATTACAATATTTTTTTGTTATAGGTGTGCTGTGTGTCCCAGCTGTGATACTAAGTTTCCCACGTGCATTGTGACGGGGCGACCTCTAATGGACTATCAATTCTGGATGTGTGCAAACTGTAAACATAGAGCCTATGAAAATGAAATCAGTGCACTCAGCAACTGTCCACTCTGTCATGCATCAATTTAAGAGAATTGGACAGTGTACACCGATTTCATTATATAGGATGAATGGTTCATGCAATGGTTCACGGATGTGTCAGCATTGAAGTTACATTCCTACATTTCCTAGTTAAAAAAAGCAATCAATAATTGGGTGATGAGCATTAGCAGTATTGGAAATAGAGGGAGGGAGGTTGAAACAAATTATTGTCAATTTCATAGTCAAGGAAATTGTATAATTTTGCTGCAAGTGAACTTAAGAATTGTAATATTAAATTTTTTTCTGTCTTACCATGCTACATCTAAACTATGGATGGAACATGGTGATAGAGGAATGCCCCCCCCCCCTCCAACAAAAGATGTTGACTGCCCCTTAATAAAATCTCCACTACATTTATGTTTTATTTTGTATCCATGTTTTAATATACCAATGGGCTGAAAGGTCTCTACAATTGTATATATTGTGTGTGAAGTATGTATATTTTGTAAATTAATTTCTGAGTCCAATTAGCTGATTTTTCTACCCTGTATTTTTGCTATTCAAGATATACCTGTAGCTAAATTAGTATGAACAGTTTTGAGTCACATTGGAGTCTTTTGCCTGTGTATATGTGGACTAGATTCAGTCCCAAATTGTATCCCCAGTAAATGTTCTTGTCTCATTTTACAATTGATTTTTTATATGACATTTGTGGGGAACATTAAAATCAAAAGTTTTGATTTGTAGTGATTGTCACATTCTGTAAAGACCAAATAAACACATTATACATCAAAAATGTAGTTTTTCTTTTTTTTCAGACACATCTGAAGTCAACAATTTTCATATTAACAAGCCGCTAGGCTGGTTAGTGATCTGCTTTGCTCAAAAAACAAACAATATGTTTCCAGCTGTTTTCATGGTTCCATGAACGTGAAGCTAACATGGATTTATAACTAATACGGGGGCCTCGTATATCAAATTTGCAAAGGGCACTCAGTTTTCAGAAGTCCATTCACTATATTACTAGCGCAAAGTTTGCTGTTTTATGATTATTATTTCCTATCGTTTTGCGATTGTATTTTCTAGATTCTTTGATTGAACGCAGGATTTACAGTTCATTCAAAGTTGCGTTGGGACTTACGTTGATAAAGTGTAACAATGTCGGCACCGTGATCACTTGTCAGTGTAATACTAATAAAAAGCATGATCATTTGAACACTGCTATTACAAGACTGGTAGGAGGTTATACATTTGGGGCAAAAGTATTCACAAATTAGTTTTTTTTACCGCAAGGTTGCTTGTGGTTTTAGGCCAGGATTATTTTTTTTACCACGCAACTAGAGTGACAGTATGACCTGCCTTGCCAAGTATGAACAAAATCTGCCCAGCCAAAAAAATCAGATAAGTTAAAGTGTGATTACTGGTGAAAAGTTACCTCTAACTTTCTCGGTAATGAAAAAGGATATCAAAAAAACAAATAGTGACTTTGTGCCCACACTTAAGCTGAGTAGAATGAGCTATGTCCGAGGTTTTTAGTCCTAGTATTGTAGGATCAGATACGTCTGTCATATGTAGTACGTCATTCGTCAACTTTTTTCAAGCGCTTGCTTCTCCCAAACCATAAGCTAGATCACCTTACTATTTATAGCACACCTACCTGGGGTTGTCCTCTGTCAGATTTGTTCATTTCATGACATCGCAACCAAATCTCCATTTTTGACTCCCGTGTGCGAAGCACAAAAAGGGAGTCTTTGCAGTTAGTGTGTCTGTATGTGTGTGTGTGGGGGGGTGTGTGTGTGTATGTGTGTCCGTCTGTTCCACTGATATCTCAAGAACCATTGAAACTTGGTGCATAGATGCTCTGGGCCAATGCGCAGATTTGATTAGGTTTTGGTAAAAATCCATGCATATTAATTACCTAATTTGCATGATAATCAGCTGATTTTTAGCTGTTCCATGACTGTTCCACTGATATCTAAAGAACCACTCATTGGATTTTGATGAAACTTGGCACACAGATGCTCCAAACTAATGCGCAGATTTGATTAGTTTTGGGTAAAAATCTGCAATATTAATTACCTAATTTGCATAATGATTAATCAATTTTCGGCTTTTCCACTGATATCTCAAGTACTAATCATC